GGGTCATAATTCCCTCTCTTAAATCTATTTTATATTACTGTCAAAACATCTTAAAAAATGTCTGGATATTTTCCACCAAAAACAAAATTTTACAAGATTACATTTGAACACATGATAACATTATAATGTACTTTGTAAATGGAGCTTGAATGCATCGTAATGTAACTCAGTGGAACCCCTGTCAACGTCAGCTGTTAGCTCCGTTATTTAGCCAAGCAGGACTGTGCTGCCCACCAACTGCTAACAGCTAATGCTAACTAGCTCTCCTGCTGATTTTTGTGCTGATTTGTTGTTCACAATGTAGCATTATCAAGGAAAAAATACATTGCATGGGAGTGTTTAACCATATATGTGTAGCAAGCGATCAAGTAGCAAATGATACCTGTTGTTGTTGTTGTTGTTGTTGTTGTTGTTCCTGTTTAGCTTAAATGGGGATAAATTATATATAGTGATATCTGATCGATACAGCATTTTAGACTTTATCAGATACTGGTATCAGAATTAAAACAAGTCTTGTCTCATTGTTACTATCTGCTTCTCTATTGTTTATTTGAGGGACATCATCAGCTGGAGGTTGCCAACAGTTTCATAAAATCCAGTGGCAAGATTTAAGAATTCTGAAAAACTAACCAACTCTTCATATGATGTTTGTCAGTGCTCACTCATAACAATGATGATAACCTGCTTTCACGTTCCCCTTTACAGAGAACAACCATCATTGTGAAACTCCCTGCCAGTGCTGGGAAATGAATAGTTCCCATATCCTCTTTCCCTGTGCCGCTGATTAAAAGGCTTGTTCTGTAAAACATTAACACATATGCACATACAGTTTTCTGTAGCTTTCTGTACAGCTACCCTATTTTTCTCAAATCAGTCTGACATTGAATAGATAGCTACAGAGAGTATAGGTATGGGTTTTGTCTAACTCAGACTTTCCCGACATCATGTGTGGGAGAGCTTTTGATATTTATATACACAAATAGTGTGTTGGCTTTTGCCTCGTCCTCAGATTGAGCTGATTTACCTGTCACAGATGTTAGAAATGAAGCCGAGAACTAACACTTTTAAAGGTTTGTTTTGAGCTTAATTTCTTTCACATTTATACAGCGACTTTTAGACCCACAAGCCTGCAATTGATTTCATATGTCGAGAGATAATTTTACTGCACTGGGGTCCCCCAAGGCTCCACTCTGGGTCCCTTACTTTTTGTCTCGGCTTCTTGCTGTATCATCACTTCTGTCAATTGCCTGGTGCATGTTGGTCATCATGCTCATAATCACAGAATCAAATATGCCGTATCTGAATTTGCATATGCACGACTAAATCTCAATTTAATGTGAATGAGGTCTGAACATCGCAACACACCATGGCTCGCGAAACTCAGACCAAACTGTTAAACTAGGCTGCAGTGATGGATTACGAATCACGATTTGGTTACTGCTTTGCCTAATTTTCACCTCAAATGTTTGCAGAAAGATAGTTTAGTGTACTGTTTAGCTGTAAAATGAGAGTTTGCGACCCAGCCGCCATGGTGAAAACAGTTGTGTCAAAACCGCCTCGTCCTTCCTTTTGTTTGCCGGATTTTTTGTGTATCACCACCATCATAACAGACTGGATGTGATGATCAGTCAGGGCCGCCCAGGATCATCAAAATAACCCCCCCCCCCCCCCCCGGCTGTTGAAAAAATCTAAGAGTGAACTATGCCAATGTATTTCATAAAAATACAATTGACATATTACATACAAATATTTAATTCTCTAAAAACAAAATCTTCTTCTGCTTCCCTTTTAAATAGCTCACGTGCTACTCACTGCCAAACGTTGCTTGTTAAAATGAAAACATAGGGGCCCTAGATTGCCTGATGTCGCAGGGAATTGGACCTGGTGACAAGCATTAAGAATGTGTCTTCATTCCCTGTAAACTACATCCCAGTTCTTTATATACTGTGGTCATTAGAGTAGTGACCATTTTATTAAGTGCAGGATCATAACTACCATCGCAAATAACTGCTGAACTGCGAACAGATGACTCGAACGATGATGCTCAGTGAGCTGCTCGTCTGATATGTGAAGATGTAAACATGCACAACCACAGAGAGCCCCTGGTCTGCTTCGCGGACGGAAAATAACTTGGCCGAACATCTCTGCGGCAAATCCGATTATTAAACTGAAAGCGGAGCTTTGCAGCAGAGACATCCTCTTCCGTACGACCCTCAGACATAAACATGGGCATTCGGGAATGCTCTCACACTCACTCACTCACTCACTTACCCGAACCACTTACGTCTGCAGAAATGATGCCAGACCTTGTCGGTGTGGTTGTGAGAGCCGCTGAAATGAGCCTTCGGTTTCTTGGCTGGGTGCCTCGGCGTTACTACCAGCCCCGCCTTGTAACTCTTGAGTCATACACGGCGTAATGTACGCACACACAAAGCATGCAGGGACTCATGCATCGTGCAGCTCTCTCTGGCCTCTACGGCTCAGTCATGAACTGTTTGCTGAGCTCATTTCAGAGACTTTATCTTTCTGCAGCTCTCGTGTACACACACACACACACACACACTCTCGCACAAGCCAAACCTAATATCCCGGTCGACATTCAAGAGTGACCTCACCTCTTAAGAGTGGGGTTTCATACAACGACCCGACGCTCCAATGCACACACATACCCATACAATCTCTTTCGTTTCTCGTGTTCACGCTCAGACAAGTAGATTGTGACGGCACGCATCGGAGGAAACACAGGAGATGAAATGGGCACGTGCAAGGGAGGATAAAAGATCGCAACGAGGGCCACAGAACCATATTTGGAAAGGGAATCCATCACTTAGGAGCGACCTCATATTTCTTCAAGATAATTTCACAAAGGGGACCACTATGTCCTTTTTAAGACCTATTGAAAGATAGCAGGAACTGTTTACATTACAAGTTCTTGGCCGTAACGTGACCAGTATCCTTTCTATTTGAATAACTCGCCGAATGAATAATCAGGTATGATTTAAACTCGAGCTTGGAGCAATCTGTTTTCCGTCCCACGTGAATTTACAAGCTGAGCGTTGACAGAATCGAGCCACAGCTTTCTGCGACTGTTTGAAAAGTCTCACCCTAACCGGGGCCCCAAAGTGTATTTAAGAGCAGATTAAGTGCAGACTTCTTCCAGAAAACATCCCAGAGTGTTTCCTTATGGCCTGGTTTTACGACCGGCCGCACCATATACAGTATCCTGAGTGACTGGGTGTTATTGGGCGGAATCCCACTGACGGTCAAAACCATCAACACACTGTTTCCCTTCGAGATCTGTGGATGTGTAACAGCTGTTCTAAAAAACTCCGGCAAACCTGGCGTGTTTATTCTATTACGATAAGATGTATCTGTAGGTCTTTGCTTGATTTGGCCGATTCAGGGAGGATTGTTGTACCTAGGAAAACTTGAAGGGAATGCTGTTTGGCTCTTGTTGTTGCTCTGCGAGACGACAGAGGGTGGAATAGATTATAAAGCAAATTTGATGCTACATTTTAAGAGTTATTGGATACTTATTAGAAACTTTTAATTTTTGTGCAGGTTAAACAAATTATGCTGGTTCCAGTTAGGCTTGGGATGTTATAGACAATTTCATATCACGATCATTCTGGCTAAAATAATTATGATTAACAATATTATCCTGATAATCTTTATAATATGCTTTAAATTCTTTAAATGGCACTAAAACCTACTGGAATCACTTAACCTTACATTGTGTTTAAAAAAAAAAAAATCTACCAATAAATATTACTTAAATAAGGTAATCATAGATCATTGGGTCCTCCTGCATAAATATAGGATGAATGCAAAGAAAAAATAGCAACATTGTCTGAGTCTGTTCACCATGATCAACTTTTCATTTATGGTCCTATCATTCTGTATGATATGATATGTTTTGTTGTATTTTTAGCTCCCACCCAAGTGGCAAAAAACTATTTATTGCTGCTTTCAAATTGAAGCTACGAACATTAGAGACGTTCCAATACAATTTGTTCCTTCCCAATACCGATATAGTGCTTCAAAAACAAAACTCTGTAATATTACTTCTTTTTTTAACAGCTGAATAACTATAGATCCTGCGTGGATGTGATATGATTGCCAGCATTGTTGTATGGTCTGGTTCAGGTGAAACCCTTAGCAAAACATGAACATTTCGAGAATGACTGCCAGAAAACTTTCTTCTATTATTTGGTTTGACAGATTTTCCAAGTGTAAAATATTGCTATACGTACATGTTACACTTTTCCGCAAGCACCCGTCTGATCGGTACTGAGCATGTGCAACCATAGACTGTATATAAGAAGTGGATGTAGTCATCGTGACGTCACCCATTGGTTTGTGGACTGATGTTATGAAGCCTCGAGTTCGCCATGTTGTTTTTTGTTGCAACCAATGAACAGAAGTTACCATATTTGGAATGCGGAGGAGTGACGTAGAGACGCCATATACTGCTCTGGTAGCGGCATTGACCTGTCAATCACAGTAAGCCCGCCCTAAAGCATACCCTGTTTTATGGTCTATTTGAATCTAAATGTACCATAATATAATGCCCATAACATAAATGGGCTCACTGTGATTGACAGGTCTCTGCCACTACCAGAGACGTATACTCTAGTCTACGTAACACCTACACATTCAATATGGTAACTTCCATTCATTGGCTGCAAAAAACAACAACATGGCGACGGCCGTAATCCAAGATGGCAACGGCGAAATCGCCAAACTCAAGGCTTCTAAATGGCGGTCCATATACCAATGGGTGATGTCATGATGACTACTTCCATTTCTTCGATACAGTCTATGGTTGTTCCTGTGTAATGTATTGAGCCGATAAATATGATAACGTGGTATCAGATCAGTGCATAGACTTGCGTTCTTGCTGATCCAGCATTTTAGGCATTATCAGAGACATTTCTGATACTGGTATCGTATCAAATGTAGCATACAGTACCAACGTGAAGCTTGTTTGTCCTCCACAGTGAAATACATCCGCGAGGTTTCTCCACTCTTCAAGAAGCCGTCCCTGGTGGCCGACCTGCCGTGGGACGGCGTCCGCCCACAGTCGCCCAGCTACAGCGGCAGCGAGGACTCCGGGTCGCCCAAACACTGCGGCTCCTCCTCCTCCAAAGACAGAAAAGTCATTAGCCTGAAGATGTGCTTCATCAGCAGGAACCTCACCATGCCCGATCTGGAGAACAGGTACGATGTGAAAGAAGTTGTTGAGAAGCAGCTGAGGAGGTGTAATAGTTTTTTCTTCCCCCTGTATTTTAACTTCTGTAAGACATAATGATGGTGATGAATTGCTGTTTGTGTTTGTCATTCAAGAAAAAGATCATGGAATAAAGAGTAAAAATATGCATGAGCGGCTTAATAACATAAGCATTTTCTGATAAAGGACCACTGATCAGATGACAGACATCCTTTGATTCATAATAGCAGGTTTTGCACCCAAATTATTTGATCAGTTCGGATGAAGTCAAGTCAAGCAGCGCGGCAGAGAGGAGAGACAGAGAGAACGAGATGCCTCAATATTAACCGATTTACACGTCATCAATTTTGATCAGTTAAGTATTATAGAACCTTTATAGGAGTAGCCCGTAAGACTCAACCTTACACTTTATTAGTATTGGTTTACAAAAGGACTACTTCACTTGTAATGTATTTTCATTTCAATAAAACATTACGTTAAAACAAACTAATATCCGTCACACAGTTAAGATGGAATAAATATGAATGTAGAATGTCAATGAATTAGTGCTCCTAAAGTTTGTGCCGTTTCTGAAATTGTTCCCGCTCCTAGTGGAAAAAGTTGAATATATATCGATTCCATGAGAAAAAGGAAAAAACAAAAGCAGTGACAACTTTCGTGAAAATTAGCTTTTTCTTAAACTTTTTCTTACCTTATTGTTTTTTTTTAAACAGAAAATGAGTTCCACTGTCATAGAACATGTACAGTACCACTCACATGCAAAATGATGGCATCTCTGGGTAACTTCTGAAAATAATATCTGGCATCCCTATCCTGTTTTTGGGCCCTAAATTAATCGTTAAACCTGTCAAGTTTCAATATTCCATCATTTCCTTTCATTGGTCTAGGATATGGACACAGCTCAAAGGAGCATACATAGAACAATTATATATTTAATAGCTTGTTTCAAGTAAATTTCAAAGAATTAAATATATTTTCAACGGAAATGTACCCAAAGAGATATTTCACACTTAAAAATCTTTCAGAAAGCTGATCACTTCTGACCTTAATAGTCCCCTTTTTGGATTGTGGTTGGTTCTTTTCCGTGAGAACTTGACATGAATTTTTGTCTCATTCCTGTGTGGGGTTGCTGATACAGTTCATATGTGTCCTATTCAGACTTTTGGAGCTCCATTCCCCGGATGGCCAGCACACGGTGGTGCTGCGCTGCAAAGACGGCCCCACCGCCAACTCCTGGTTCACCGCCGTCCACACCAACATTGCCGCTCTGCTGCCGCACACCCTGGCTCACATCAACGCCTACCTGGGGGCCTCGTCTTCAGCCGCCACCAACCCCCATCTCAAACACATCGGCTGGCTGGCCGAACAGGTATCTTGGTTTAGCGGCTTGGAGACAAAAATGCATTGCTCGTCAACGTCTTGGGTCCGTGTTTACTTCCTGTCAGCTGATGTCATTCACATACAGGAAATAAACTGGGACACATTTGGATTGTTTACGTTGACAACGGTGAAGTGGTCTATACAGGGGATAAGCAGTTGCATACTGTTTTCATATACCTTTACTCTATACCTAAAGAAATTTTATCTCTGAACATCGAGTTCATGCGCATACTTAGCCTAGCCTAGCTTATCACAAATGATGGAAGTAGGGGAAAACTGCTAAGCTAGCTCTGTTAAAAGTGAAGAAACATGCCTTCCAACAGCTGCAGTACTGCCTATTGTATTGTAGCATCTAAAGTTATTGTATGGAAAGCTATTCATTGATACGGCCACAACTACGGTTGGGCTCCAACAACCTGTTTCATTTTGGATCCGGTTGAAGGTCGGCATCTGCATGTGCTAAACTCTGAGGCTAACAAATCTCTAATCAAATATTTTTTCTTTAGTGAAACTATCTATCTTATCGTGTTATGATGGTGCTCCAACCGTTTGAAATGCTAAACATAGCCATGCACCCAGTTTGGTCAAGAAATACTGTTGCTCCAACACAAAGATGTTCCTACAACCAAAACCACCACATTTCTATTTCTATATTTTTTGGATAAGGCATCTTTAGGTTTGAGGTGTAAGTACTTTTTTATTTCAGACATGTTTCAAAATAAAATACGTAAGAAATGTTGAATTATGGTATATTTCAATTAAAAACTTGTTATTTATACATATCAAGGTAGACTTTTGGCCAAGATAATTACACGATAAGTATTTTTTTATCAGCACATGCTTTGATGCTAGTGCGGAAATACAGTGCATTTTCAGGTTGGATAAATATAAAGTTGAAACACAGGTTGCTTTGAACAGGAAATAGCATCAGTGGTTTTTCAGTTTAGTTTGCCACAGTACCTATTTCATTTCTTCTAAATCACTGCACATACACAGATCTCAAGCATATACGCTGGCATTTCTTCTCTGCAGCAACACACAGGAAGAGTGTGTTTTCGTGAATTAGCTGTAGTCCTAAATTTAAACATGTCCCTTGAAAAGTGAACCAGGGCCACTCTCCATTCCCTCTGAATAATATATTTTCCCTTTGATGAAGTGTCCATTCAAGGCCATGTTGAATGCATGGATGTCTGGCTGTGTTTATCTTGACCAGGCTCAGACAGGAAACACATATGCAAGTTTCCGTTGCATTGCACCATTTCCTGTAGAGCCCACCTACTCACCATGGCTGCACCCACAAACACACTGTCTGGTTTTGATGTCATTGCTTTTCACTGTAACTCCACCAGCACTCCAGTCACTCAGCCATGACTCAGACAAACACACACCGCCTTATTTTTATCACAATGCTGTGAAAATTCAGGTCAGACTGTCAGGATGAGCTACTTAACTCCTCTGTCGCTGTACTCCGTAAAAAGTACATCACTATTAGGGGTGTAACGGTTCACAAAATTCTCTCAATACAGCAGAAAAACAGAAATGCCATTATAAAGTATGTTCTTTTTTTACTTTGTACAATGATGGATTCATTTGTGTACAGGAAGCTGCAGCAACTCCTGTTTTGTCTTTAACACATGGGCTGCTGTTGTGTTTCTGTATAAGAAGGTCACAATCTCTCTGATCTGCTGCACTGCCATTGCTTTCTGAGACGCTAGATTAATGACATCAGCCTATTTGTGTCGTTACAGTCAGCTAGCTTTGTGTAGTCCATGATGTCCGGCCGTCTGTTGTCAGAGCATGTTCGTACAGCCTGGTTTTCCACTCCAGAGTAGCGTCTCATATCTGTGGCTATAAATATACCTTGAGCCGTGTTTGAATCGGTAAGTAGTAGCTACCTAAACGCTGCGGGGAGAGTTTGTAGTGTGTGTGCTGCTGTTGGTTTTCCTGGTAAGCTAGTTTAGCATAGAGTGTAGAATGTTGTTCTTCCGTGGTGGGAGTGTCAGACAGCATGTTGTCTGTTATGTCGGGTGGGTTGCCATGTTGAGCGAAGTGGCACCACCAAGAGAACATTATATTTCCCACAATTGAAATGCAATAGTATTATTCAAACGTATTGTTCGGTTCGTAATGTGTACCGAACCGTGAGCCTCGTACCGAACAGTTTAATACAAATAGGTGTATTGTTACACCCCTAATCACTATACTATTACACTGTCCAAGAACACCGCTACACTGTCAAACGACATCACTATACCGCTACACTGTCAAACGACATCACTATACCGCTACACTGTCAAACTACTTCACTATACCGCTACACTGTCAAACTACTTCACTATACCGCTACACTGTCAAACGACTTCACTATACCGCTACACTGTCAAACTACTTCACTATACCGCTACACTGTCAAACGACATCACTATACCGCTACACTGTCAAACTACTTCACTATACCGCTACACTGTCAAACGACTTCACTATACCGCTACACTGTCAAACTACTTCACTATACCTGTACCCCGTCAAAATACATCCCTATTCCTGTACCCATAGTAGTCCATACCCCGTCAATCTACATCCCTATACCTGTACCCCATCGTAGTTTAATCGCCAGACTGCATCACGATACCTGTACCTTGTCATAGTTTATACCCCATCAAACTACTTCACTAAACCTGTACCTTATCAAACTACATCACTTTAACTGTACCCTTTACTAGTTTTTACCGCGTCAAACTATCACTTTACCATCTACCCATACGCCATAGTGATATGTCAAACTACATCACTATGCTTTTACCTGTCCAACTACATCACTATATCTGTAACCCATTATAGTTTATACCCTGTCAAACTATGTCACTTTACCTGCACCCCGTCAAACTACAGCCCTATACCTGTACCTCATCGAACTACATACCTACCTGCACCCTTTCAAACTACATTAAACATCATTAGACCTGTACTATGTCTGTTCAGTAATGTTGTAATATTTTACAAATAAATTTAATAGTGAGATCTATAGCTACGGAAATGGCAAACACATCTGCTTACTTTTCTAACATAGCCAGGCTTACCTGTAATAATTCGTAGGGTTGGAGACTATTTCATGCAAGTTGACTAGTGGTTGGTTTTGCAGTAAACCTAATGGTAGAATTACTGGACGATACATGTAGTACAAAATGTAATTTGGAGATTTATTTTGTACTATCAGTAATTATGAGTATTGACATCTCCCCCTAACTCTCTTCTTTAGGTCCAGCTGGAAGGTGGACGGCAGCAGTACAAGCCAGTGGTCATGGCACTAACGGAGAAGGACATCCTGCTATTCGAATCGGTGCCATGGAGCAGAGAGTCCTGGTCCATGCCTCTGCTCACACACCCGCTGCTAGCCACAAGGTGAGGACAACAGACAGCAGGGTCATTCGGCTGTAGCCAGAATGCACATGTCTTACCCGACTGGTCCTCTTTCCGTACATCAGGAAACATTTCAGACCAGAAATCAAACATTACTCGTTTACAGATTTGACATTTTAGCTCAGAACAGTTCACTGTCATCATAATTCTAATATGGGTTTATCATTTCTTCATGGTACAGATAATAATATTTATGTTAAAATGCTTTTGGATTGGCTATTTTTGCAAGGCATCAGCTGACCAGGAACAATTTAGCAGGCTTTCAGTTCAGTACTGTACTTAAAATCTACTGCCAACATACGGTCAACAAATTCATGGTATGTACCTGGAAGTTTAAAGTTGCTTACATTAAATTTACAGTGAAACATTTTGCTAGGTCAGGAGAGGGTTTTTTGTGGGGGCTTGCCCTGGGGACCCCCACCTGAAAGAAGCAACCCTAATGTCATCACCCAGTTCATCCCCTCGCCAACTTTAATAAACAGATGAAACAAATCAATTTAATTTAGGTGGCAATGTAGGTCATCCATGCAACAATAAAGGGGTGTTGTATTTTCATGTCTCTCCCTCCAGACTGGTTCATTCTGGCAGCGCCCGGGGTTCTCCTGCCCAGGGTTCGGACATGGTGTTCGCCACTCGGACGGGCACAGGGCGGGGCATTGAGTCCCACATCTTCCGAGTGGAGACTCACTGGGATCTGTCATCATGGACGCGAGCCCTCGTGCAGGGGGCACACGCTGCCGCTGAGCTCATCAAAGAAGTCTCCATTGGTGGGTGTGTGTGTGCGTGCGTCTGTAGTAAGAATTGAAAGTCAGTACCAAAATCCGCGGTGGACATTGGTCTTCCAAAGTAGTCTCATGGCACAAGTTTAAGGTACTTGCATTTTAATTGCATATATTCACTTCAACCTCAAGGAGTGGCCACCCTGAAATCTGATTGACCACCCCCTTTATCCTGAACTCTGATTGGCTCTACCAGCTCAGAGGCGGGACTTTAGAGTAAACCGGAGCCGAAGTGGCGCCTATTCTGCCAAAAACTTAGAGTAAGAATACGATTTTGTTTGGATTACAAAATGTTAAAATCAGAAATTTAAGAAACTATAAGATACTGTAATGTCAGTAATTAGTGTAGATATGATTAGCGGAGACATAAATAGTTAACTAATGCTATGCAATATCTCACTTTGGATTCCCAGTAGGAGTTTTTACACAAAACATGATCAGTTTATAGAATATGATGCACAGATTTAACTACCATGCAGTATTATAAAGTAGTTCAATTGTCCCCACCTTGACGGCCTCCAACATTTAAATGCCTGCGGCTCACACAGTAACAATCTAAAAAGTAGTAATGATCAATAGTGGTCGTCTAGTCACATGATCAAATGGAGACATTGGACAACGTCAACATACATATTACCCAGCAATCATCACTGCATATCTGTATATGACAAAAATACCAAACAAAGTAAGTGAATAGTTTTTTGTTTATTTATAGTTTATGTAGAATAAGCATATCAATTTATATTTATATATGTTATAGATTGCTATTGCGTATTTAATCCCCATAAAATGAAAACCATGCCAGAGATGGGCTTGCCTTTTCAAGGGTATATATATATATAAACCTAGCTGATTATAGTTAGTGTATTTTTGTCCACAGGAAACACTTCATTATGTAGTACAATACCTACAACACCACAGCTAGAAGGTTGTGTGCACACATTAGGACAAATGCGTGTATGCTCCTGTGTGGTTCGAGTCTGTACACACAGGTTGGCAGCAGTGAGTCAGCAGCCCTTTAACCTGAGGATGTGGGTTCACCTTTATACATAAAGCAAGTGAATGTTAAGTGGAAGTTAGTTTTCTAGAGAATATATTTGTTCACAGACTGAACCCCATATATAAAGGATTTTTTTGAACAGATAAAAATGTTTAATGTATATAGGCCTTTAAATGTCACAGTGCTTTGACTGTGACAGGAAGCTCCAGACACCAACTGGCTGGCTGGCCGTGTGCAGCAGCTCAGAGAGAGCAGCTCTGTGTAGGAGAAGCAGAAGCTGGAGCCAGCAGAGGGGAATGTTTCCACTCTGTACAGAACAATGGTTGGCTGCCGGAACAGCACTGGAAAGCTTATTTTCTCCCTCCTTCTTCCCCCCTCCTGTCCTAAGTTGTGCAGAAACATTCAAAGCCAGTCGCATAACAGTAACACACATTGAAATGTGCTTCGGGATCAAATGACGTGACTGTTTAAGCTGCATAAGGCACGTTTTTACAAGGAAGATAGGCTTGTGTTTATACGCTGTGGATTAAGTTTGTCTAAGTAAGATGTTCAGGTGATAGACAATGTCACTGCTTAGTTCATAAAGGGAGTTCACAACATACCTATCAGACATTGTCAACACATGGTATGACTTCATAGTTATTTAAAAGGATTGTGTGTACGATTTGGTGACATCTAGTGAAAAGGTTGCAGAATGCAACCAGCTGAATATCTCTTCTCCCTTTCCAAGACTGCGGTAATGTGAGCCGCGAAGCGTAAAACCGTGGTAACGACATTTGCCTCACTTAGAGTTCATCCATACCATAATAACACTACTTTAGAAGAATTGGTAAGTCAGACGGCGGCTGGCCATACTACAGTACCTCAGTTGAGAACTACGGTGGCCTTTAGTTAAAATTAAAAATGTGAAAGGCTCTCTCTGTAAGCTGTGGTTAGTTTGTCCCTTGTGGGCTACCATAGAAACATGGTGGTGCAATACGGCCTGTTCCTCATTCTAAGCTAACATAGTTAAGAAAACAGTTTTCCGTTCATGCTAATAGATCCCCCAAATAAACTACACACTGGCCCTTTAAGTTAGTATTTATATTAGTGCTGGGCAAGTTATCGCGTTAATACATTAATTAATTAAAAAGCAAGAAATATGATCGCTGCTGCGAGACATCTGATTCAAAAGTAGTGTATTGTGCACTTTTATTTTAAAAGTACTGCTATATGAACAAAAGTGCAATAACATTTGATCCCTCACCCCCACTGACCCGTACTCCTACTATAACTTAAAGCTCATTCCTCTCTCTCTCTCTTCCAGGTTGCACGTTAAACAAGCAGGACATCCGGCTCACGTTGCACTACGAGAAGGGCTTCACGGTGACGAGAGAGCCAGCAGAGCCAGCGGGGGGTGCCGTGCTGTATAGATACCCCTACGAGAAGCTCAAGATGTCCGCCGACGATGGGATACGCAACCTCTACCTTGACTTTGGGGGTCCAGAGGGAGAGATGGTGAGCTGAGACAATGGAATAAAAGACACTATAATATTTGATATTTTCACCACTACCATTACTTTTCTCTCCTGCCAGAGAGTAGTTGATTAGTTCGGTGTATGACACAAAGCCACTGGAACTTTTTATCATCGATTCATCACTTATTTTTGATTATTCGATTAGTCAAAAAAGAATTTCATTGTTTCTAGCATCTTACTCTAATAATAACTAAAAATTATTCTAGGTCATAGGTTTTTATTTGTAAAAAAAAAAAAAAAGAATAATTCAAGTGTGTGTTGCTTCAAGCTCATTTATTTGAGTGAATTATATATATATATACAGTGGTGTATAGTAACGAAGTAGAAATACTTAGTTACTGTACTTAAGTCGTTTTTTTGGATATCTGTACTTTACTTTACTACTTATATTTCTGTTTACTTTTACTTCACTACATTTTGCAAAGAAAACTGATACTTTTACTCCGATACATTTCCCCTGAAACCTTCGTTACTCGCCACAAAATCAAATCTATCTTTAGAAACAAAATGAATCATGAGACCAACGTTGGGGACTGGTGGAACAGAGACTGCAACAAGCAGGTTTGGCGAATCAGTGGTCCTAGCTTGCAAGTTAAATCATTGGTTAATCACGTTAATGCGCAATTGCAAACAAGTGCTCTAAAAGCCGCGGTGTTTTGATTCCCAGTGATGCCCAGGATGCTATATGCTATAGCTAGCGAGCGACTACATGAGCAGAATTCCACTCTACGATGACTGATTTCATGATGGAAGCACCTGCTACTCCCGCAACAAACGACGGTGGTGACGAAGACCAACACCCGTGGATCGCTAGCGAGTTAGTGAGCTGAGGAAGTGTTGACAGTTGTGCAGCACTAGTTGGCTAACGTTAGCTATAGCTAGCCACCACACCATAGGATTGACAGGAGCCGCGAGAGCGCAGCATTAGTGTTAGCATTATGGTGAGCATTAGGGAAATCCTTCCCAGCTGTGCGCAAGCTGTCTGTGAAGCTGAACACACCTCTACCTGCCTCAGCGGCCTGTGAAAGGCTATTTAGCATCGCAGGACTAGTCTTCAGCCCAAGAAGAACGAGACGGAATTCTCGCAATTTTGAAAACCAACTTCTTTTGAAGATGAACAGGACATTTTTTAGTTTCAGGTAATGACTGGGTTGTTACTTTCGGTGCTGCTTTAGTATTGATCATGTTTTGATATTTGAGTCATTTTGTGGATGATCAGATGGAGTTATGATGGTAGCAGTCGCCCAATTGCAGATTCAGCTTGAGCAAAACCTTTGCCTATTGTGTTCAAATCAGGCCCAAAGGAGTTTACAAGGCAGGTGTCCTTTCTCAAAACACTGACCTGATGCATCAAGTGGATATTTTTTGCTGAACACAACATTATGCATTTGCCCTCTACATCCTCTAGTCGGAATGAGCATACTTATAAACGCACTGTTACAACTCCTTCATAGTGTCATA